TATAAGAGCTTCAAGAGAAAGCGTGTGAGGAAATGGAAATTAAAACAGGGTGATATTTTTAAGAATCCTGAATGAGGAGGGTAAAGAAGGATTAAAAATAACCCATTATCATGACTGGAAAAGGAAGTATAAAAATCAAATGGCTTGGGGCAGGAGGATGCTTGAGCCTTGAAGAAAAGCAGTATGTTGGAGGAAGATGCAGGGAGTCAGGTCAGACATCACCAGCACCTGGGCTTCATTCACTTTTTGGCCAATTACGTGCTTTGTGTGCCACAAGGGAAAGATTACAGAACCTCTTAAGAAGCTCAGGTAGAGATGTGATGTTCCTTTAAAAACTTGCTATAGTGGGAGATAGATGTCACAGAGGACAGAAGGTTGGGGGGAGGTGAAGGGTGGGCAGGATCAAGACACACTCTGCACATACACGAAATTTTCAGAGAATAAACAAAAATTACAAAGAAGAGAGGCAGGAAGAATTAGGTTCGATGTAATATATAACTGCAAATTTCTGGAATGCAGTTATTCACGTAGATACATGTACACCGGGCACCCTCTGGTTGGTCTAGAATGGATCACTCATTGCAGTGTAGATCTACCATCATTTCTTCTCCAAATGCTCATTGGTCCACTCCAACTTACCTGAGATTTCTAGTGTTGGAATTAGGTAACTTCTGTACTTTACCGACTGTTATTAACTTCTCCTTAGGTTCTGTTTCTATTTCATTGTCTCATCAAGATATGACCTTTCATTATCACCGTATTTAATTCAGCTCCCTTTGCTGTGATGGTTTCTTACATTTGAGAATGTATGTGGTTAATTTGATATTCAGGTATTGGACTGACATTTCTCTGTTGGGATGCTCTTAAGATTGCACCTGCATTAGACACCATGCTGGCATAGAAGTGCATTTTTTATTTTATTCTTTTAAATTTTTTAATTTATTTTTTTTGTTTTTTTGCAATTTTCATACAATATAGTTTGAAGGTGTTTAGATCCCTTCCCCTATCTATACTTTCCCCCACTGCCCTCATCCAATTTAATGTGTTCTCATATCACTTCCTATCAGAGGCACACACCAGTAATATAACCCTTCATTATTACTGTTGACTTTGCACCTGACTTGAGTTGATATTTTTGTATAATTCCCATTGAAAATACTACACTTTCCCATTCTTTGCTGTAGTCCTTGAGAGGGGTAACCATCATGCCCAGAATTTAAGAGTAAAAAGATGTGTTTCATCCATTGAAAGAAGTTATCTACATAAATTATTTTCCTTTTGTCTCCTCTTGTTAATTAATCTTTTCCATTATTTATTTTCAGCAGAATTCTCACACTGACTTCATACTTTTCCAAATAGCCCAATTCTACTTTATTGTTTTGCTCCAGCTACTGAAGCTTTGTTGATTAAAGCTGATTCAGCAGATGCCCATGGCCTTTGACATACTCCTTGAGTGGGGATGCCTCATTCATTTACCTGTTTTAAGTAATTCCCCACATTCCACCATGAGACTATGCCAGACACACAACTTTTTATATTTCAGAACTTCAATCTGTCATTTCTTTATGCAGTGTTCATTGTCTTTATTGAGGGAGTGGAATTAAAATCCCAAAGTTGAGAGGTAGGTGTGCTCATAGCTACTAAGGTATCAATATTTCTATGGCCTCTCAAGTTGATACAAATGCAGAACATGTGAATATTACCTTCCATGCATACTCAAGACTATAAACATTTCTGCATATAACCACCTGCGGCTATGCTAAACTTTCCTTAAATTGTGCTGCTGTCTACAACTCTAATCCATTTTCAGAAAGATGACTGTGTCCTATTGCCCTTACTTCTCTGTAAATTTCTACCCAAATGTACAGAGTAATATAGTTTCATCCTTGGTTGTTCAATCACAGCCACTGTGTGCAGCAACATGAGAATTAGCACTGAACTAGATATGAAGCAGTGTTTGCACTGTTCCTGTGTGATCTGCTTGTCTTGGGCTTACAGACTCCATTTAGTTGCATAGCTACTTGGATCACTCAGTTCTCTTCTAGTTCCTTCTGTGAACTTACTTCCCATATTAATCATAAAATTAGATTATTTTGTCACACTCTGTAGTTCATCCTGGGATCCTATGGCTTCTAATATTTGTCTTTAAAACTGCGTAATAGGAAGATATTTTGTGCTAAGGGCATGTGTGATGTGACAAATCTGTTTTTACATTACCTCAGAAGATGTTTCCACCACCCCAAAATACATTGCAATGGTTTCACTCACCAGCTCCACTGTCTCTGGGAAGCACTGGTTTTATACTATTGTCATTGCTTTTACTTCATCATAATATCAATAGTTGACATAAATTTGTGGCTTCTTTCACATAGAAATATGCATTGAAGATATACTTATTAATATTCATGAGCTGATACCTCATTTTCACTGCTGAATATTTATATAAATATAGAGTCATTACTTACATGTTCAAGTCTTCATGGATCTCTTGTTTGCTTTCAGGTTTTAGCAAACACAAAGCTATTTTAAAAATCATGTATCAGATTTGTTGTGGGTGTTGAATTACTGGTGTCTAGTAACTCAGTTCCTGGACTACATGGTCGGATTATGTTTATCTTTGTTTGAAATGGCAAAAGTGTTTTCCAAATTCACCATTCCATCTTTCTAGCACCATCAGAAAACAAAGAAACTTCCTCTTTTACTACAATTTCCCAGCATTTTGTATTGCTAGTTCTTACAATTCAAGCATTCTGATGAATTAGAGTGGCATTTCTTTGTTGTTTTGTGATTTCTGCATGACAAGCCATTTAACTCCAGATTTTCTGCGTATTTACAATCAGTATATCATCCTCTGTGATTAGTCTTTTATTTACTTTTTTCTTCATTATGTATTTGTGACCTTCAGTTTTATTGTATTTGAGATGTGTTCTGCATTTAAAAAATCACTTTCATATATTTTTTGTGAATGAGAGTGTGGGCATGTGTGGAGGTCAAAGTAATTCAGAGAGATAATGTTGAAAGTTTGTGTCTGCAATTATTCTTTTGATACATAAATTCAATTGTTCCAAATCTATTTGTTAAAATTTTATTAATTTTGAATTAAGCCACTTTCTCTCTGTTATGATTTGAATGCAAAATTGTCTCCCTCTGGCTCGTCTCCTTGTTTGATCCCAGACACTTATCTTATTTTGGGGGGTGATAGAAACATTTTCATGGTCTAGCGAGAAAATAGGCGGTAGACAAGGGACTGTTCTGAAGATTATACCTGGTCCCAGGTCTGTCTCTGTCTCTCTCTCTCTGTCTCTCTGTCTATCTCTGTCTCTCTCTCTCTGTCTCTCTCTCTCTCTCTCTCTCTTCAGGCACCATCCATCTTGTTTCTTTTTGAGTCAGGGTCTCTCACTGAGACCTGGGGCCTACCATTTTAACTAGACTGGCTGGCTAGAGAGCTCCAGGGATCCTCCTGACTCTGCCTCCCCAGTGCTGGGATCTCGGGTGGTGCCACCACACCCAGAGTCTATGTGGGTGCTCAGGTCCTCATGCTTGTGCTCTCTCTCTCTCTCTCTCTCTCTCTCTCTCTCCCCCTCTCTCTCTCCTTCAATAAAGTGGTCTTTGAAACAAAAAGGCATGTTATTTATTTTTTTATTTTTGTGACAAAATACCTGTCATACGCAGCTTAAGGAGAGGAATTCTATATTTGGCTGGTTAAGTTCAGAGGTCTCGAGCAACAGTCTTTGGCCCCAGACATTCAGAGTTGTGGGTTGTGATAAGGCAGAGCCTTGTGGCAATGGGCATGTGTGAAAGAGGGTGGTCTCACCTGGTGGAGAGAGGAAAGAGAGAAGGTCTATATTTGGCCTTTTGATCTGTGAATCCCAGATCAAAATCTTGATCAAAATATTTTCCCCAGTCTACAATATCTTGATGATGGCAGTTGTGTGGTGGGGTTTGTGGAGTGGCAGTCCCCCATCACTGTGCTTTTCAGAACAGTGTTGGCAATCCTGGGCCTTAAGACCCTGTGCTTTCTTGTTTACTTTTTCCCTCTGTCTTCCTACTGTCTTCCACTTTCACCTCCATTTCTTCTGGTTTGTGTGATTTCTGTTGTAGTCTGTCTGGAAACTTCTTCCTGTTCTGCAAAGGAACTACCAACTCTTTCCTTATGTGCTTCTTCCCAGGATTTTCTATGTTGCCATCAGTTTGTACATATGGACTAGAATACACCTGGCTGTCAACCTAGGTGTTTTGATCCTGCTTGATTTTCTCTTAGCTTCTGAATCTAGAATCCAGTACCCAGCATTTATTGAGAATAGCTTTCAATCACTAAAAATTCAAATGCTTCCTCTATTGCTTTTTCTTTTGTTGTAAATCTTAATAAGCCCAAAAGATTAGCATATGCGTGTTTTATATGTAGCAGATATTTTAATAAGAGACATGGCATTTACATCATAAAGGTATTTAAATACGTGTAAGTCGTTTGATAGTTTCTTCCATTATAATTTTTTAAATTTATGCATCTCAGTTTTGAAAATTTCCATTGTTGTGTTCAACTCATGGAGTTTTTCCACAGCCATATCTGTTCTGACAATTGGCCGGTCCTTGTGGTGTCATGTTAATTTCCTTTGTTGCTTTCTTGGGTTCTATCTGTGTGTACCATTTTCCATGTGTTCTTCCACAATGTCTACTTTCTCTATTAGATACTGTGCTATAGTTGTTACAGGCATTTTAAATTTCTGCTCTGATATTTCCAGATTCTTTACCACATGTGGTTCTGCTGGTGATGCTTATGCTGTCTCTTCATGCCTTTCTTGTGTCTCCTCAACCTGGCCTTTTAGCTTGCCTTGCAGGTTTTTGATGAAACCAGATGGAACACATCAAATAACAGCAACTTTTGTAATTAGGCATTTATTGTGATATTTTATGACAACCCGGCTAGAAGCTGACTTGGCTGAATGCTTAACAGCAGATGACAAAGATAGCATTGTCTTCTATGCTTTATCTACCTTTACGTGAGACACAATCACAGAAGATTTTGGAGTTGTCTAACTGATATCCCTTCAGGTCAGTGAAGGCACTGGTGAAATGGTTTTCACTACACTGGAGGCCTCTATTGTGGAGAATTCTCTGAAGGCCTTTTATATGGTCACCATTCCTTCCAGCTGCCTGAAGGACAGGGAAGATTTTTATTCAGCCTCCATTATAATGGTCTAATACCATCCCCCAGCTGAAGTCTGGAAGCAGTATAGGCCACACAGTGTGCCCCAGACGGTAATGATCATCTCTTCTGCAGATCCACACTCAGTCTCCAGTTTTTCATTGAAATTACCACATAAATCTTCTTATCACTCATTGATTTTAGACTATCTTTGTTTTTCGTCCTACAGGCATCTGATTCCCACTACACTACCCTATGTTTACCTGTCTTTCCCGAGTTTTAAGTGACACTGTATCTTGTGAATTTGATGTCTGGGCGATTTCAGAAAAAAATCATGGATTTTGTCATTTACTCTGCTCTTTCACTGAGCACAGTGTGATGTCTTCTAAAGACATTCTGTGTTGCAGCTAAGTTTCTTCACTAAGCAGAATAATTTCATTGAATACAGAAGTCTATATTGACAGCATTTTTTTTAATGACTCAAATATTCCACACCACCCCCTTCTTCCATAGTCTCCTATGATAAGTTCTTTGAACTTCTTACTCTTCCCTCTCTAGTCACAGTGTATAAATCCAGAACTCTAAAGAAGGAAAGACTGCAATAAAAGATTCTATTGAGCCATTACAGGTGGTTGTCTTTAAAGGACCTGCTTCTAGAACTAGTTCCTCCAGGCTCAGGAAAAGACAGGGAGCAGCTGCAGAACTGAATCTGAAATAATGTGCTATTTTATGATAAAACTTTAGGCAAGGAATGTGTAACGTGTTTACCTTGAACCACCTTTCCTAAAGACAAATGAGAAGGCAGGACCACAAGCAGCAACTAGACTTCAAGAGAGGAGGCAATTCTTATGGAGAAGTGATGCTGCCGTGTGACAAGGCGGGGCTAGAAACAAGGCACCTAGCAGGCTCTTCCTGACAGGATTTGGGTTAAGTGTTTAATGTACCCTCAAGACTGGAGAAAGCACTTGGTTCTTGATGCAGTCTGCTCCTGATCAGTACCATCTCTCCCTCTTTCTTCTTGTTGAAGTTTCCCACAAATTAAATTAAAGGCATTTCAATCTTTCTAATATTAGCTGACCCCTTCTTCTCCTTCATGTTTCTTTCAAGATTCTCTCCTTTTCTGTGTTTTGTTTTATGCAGTTTGAAGCTGATATAAAAACTTCCCTGTTACATCATGCTTGATAAAATCTGAGCTCTAGATCTGGGGTTTGTTATCTATTATTAATGATAGAAAATCCAACACTGTCATTCAGGTATAGATTTTTCTTCTCTGTTTTCTCTCTCCTCTGTTGCTGTTGTTAGTTGTACAGTACATCTTTACAAGTAGTCTCATATTTCTGGGATGTAGCACTGATTCTTTGTATTTGAGTTTGAAAAGGATCTATGGATGCATTCTATCTGTGTTGACTGTCTGTGGCCACACACAGCTTGGAGAGGAGCTGTTGAAGGCCGCCATCCTCTGCCAAGGAGAGCTCCACCCCCAGCACTTCCTTCATTTTCATTCTGTGAAGATTCATTTTCTATCCACTTAGAAGAAATCTTGCACCTTTTTCTACAACCCCCTGAAGCCATTAACATATTAGTCATAATTCTCTGTCTGATAATCCTAAAGTGTGAGCTATCCCAGTGTATTCCAAAGATTTTCTATTTTGATTCCTCAAGCTGTCACTTTCTTTCACATCTCTACAGTACCAAAACAGGGGTGTTTACTGCACAGAAAGGGTTATACAGTCCCTAATGGGATTGTTTTAATCATATGCACCTTTTTTGAAAAGGCACTTAGAGTATATAAATTCCTCTGGTGTTGTTCTTAGTCCCCATTTTGGCTTTGCTTAGTCACCCTGCCCCCCAGGAAGCAAGTGTGTCACAGCCCTTTTCTCACGCTCTGTTAGTGTGGCAAAGGATTAACAGAATGGTAGTGCTCTTTTTACAATATTTTTAACTTATTTTTATTTCATGTGTTTGAGGACTGTGCCTACATCTGTGTAAATATACTATGCATGTGTAAATGCCTGTAGAGGCCAGAAGAGGTGTTGAATTCCCTAGAACTAGAGTTATGTTGTTAGCTGCCATGCAGGTGCTGGGGACCAAACCCAGGTCCTCTGCTAGAGCAGCCAGTGCTCTTAACCACTGAGCCATCTTTCTAGCCTTGGGACCCCTTATTTCTCTAATCACACTTCTCTTCTTCCGCTGTTAATAACTTCCCTGAGAGCTCTTATTTATGGGTGCTCCATTTAGCAGACCTAAGTTCTCACTCTATGAATTTCAATCTCACTCCAGATGTCATAGAAATGGTTGACTCTATGACTACATATCCCTTGATAGGCCGAAGAATATCAGTTGAGTTTATGTTTATTTATTGCTGATCAATTCAAACTCAAAAATTCCAATGTCAAATTGGACTTTATATGAAGACTTAGGAGTTGCAATGAGGTGTTGAAGGTTCAGATAGCTCTACAAGAGCTCCAAAGGGCGACAGAGACAAGGGCTGTTGGATGGTATAAAGGGATAGGGGCTATTCAGATGGAAATAATGAAGAGAGCACAAAGCCAGACAGAAGGGTACACAGACTGGACCCTGATATCCTCTGGACACAGTGTTATTGCCTGGTTTTTGCTATGTGTCTGGATGCCTGTGGTCAAAGATGGATGTGATGGCTGTTCATGCTCTAGGCATAGCTGCAACCTTGCTAAGACCCTCAGGTAGGAGACCTCACATCTCCAATGGGAAAAGCTCTCTCTGGGTTGCTTACTAGTTTGTGACTTTCCTTTAGTTTTCACTTTATATATTACTATTGTTAAGAAAGGCTTGGTACACCTACTAATCTCTTAAAATGTCAAAGCTGAAGTTGAATGTCCATCAGTTTTAAAATATCTAGGATTTATTTGTGTCATTATAACAGTATATGACAAATATTATTTTTTGAAAAGAAGACTAATTACTTGTATCTTTGTCTTAATTCACTACTTTTCTAAAATGTAGTGCTATACAAGGTTCATGCTTGTCAAGACGGCAAAGGCACTCCTCTAATGGAGCCCTCTTTATTGCAGTTCTTACAGGTGTTAGACTTTCTGCTTAACACCATCTTTCAGTGAGGCATCAAATTTTCTCTAGGTTACAGGTAGCTTTATTTCATCAACAATCAATTTGCAGTTTTAATGTGGGCACATTTCCCCATAGCAATGAATTCCTATTGTGAAGCAAAACTGAAAAGAATAATTTGTTTATGTGCAGTTAAGGCCTCAAATTCTGAATCTAATTGTGTGCCGAACCCTGCTTTATGAACTGTTAACTTCTAGTTTTATAGTGTAATTTAGGGCGGGGGGCTTGGCAAACGGTTTCTTAATTTAATGGACTTAAATATTTCCCCACCAGCTGCCAAATAATTTGTGGAAAAGCATTATCATTTGTGCATGTGCCCTAAGAGAGAAACAAAAGTTAAAAGGCTGTTTGTCAAGTGTGTGGCAGAGAAAGTGACTGTCATCTCCTAAAACGCAATTATGCAATACCACCTCTCTTGTGCATAGATTAATTCACACAGAAATATTATAACTATTTATATTTGAATTGAAAAAAGTTACCAATTAATGTAGAGTTTAGGCATAATTGCTTAGCAATAATGTGGCATTTCTTCCAAATTCACAAATGGCAATAATGTCTACATAATAACTGAAAAGCTCTGCATTCTTTTTAAAGTATCCACAGTATAGCAGATTACAGCCACAGCATGGCTAAGCTTTCTGGCATATACATGTGAGAGTTCAAGAGGTATTCTAAACTGGAAAACAAGGTAACTTAAGACTATTTGACTTCCTGTGTCTTATGCCCTCTCCCCTGCATACCTAATTCCCTGCAAATCAACAGGATTTATGTAAACTAGAAGATAGGTGCTTCTCCATTCTTGCTTATTGCCCAGTGATTGGCTGGGCCTACTTGTGGGTTTGTGAATCCAATCCAGTGTTAGAAAGAAAGTATAACTTTGGGAACTTGTTACAGGGTGACAGTAAGAATCATTCCTGTGACGGAGTGATGTGAGGTATAAATTGAAATGAAAGCACTCCATTCTCTGAGCAGGGGTTATATGGTGATCTGACATGTATGTTTACAAATCAAATGTAGAATATGTTCCACATTGCAACAGAATTATTTTGGTAATTCATGTTTTAAAATTTCTACTTAGATCACCAATGGGTGGAATTTTTCAAGGCTTTTAAAAACATTTAATATTTTACTCTTTGACCTAAGCACATAGTCTATCATGAATTCATTGCAAAGAATCCTCATGGATTTTTACTTTTCATGTTTTCACTCTGTACAACATGGTGCTCAACTCTGGCACACCTCCATGGTCCCACTTTGCTTTAAACATAGGAAACTCATAGTGAACCAAGATTCTGCTAATTACCAGGTGTGACCTGGAAGTTTCTCTGACGGGCCATGGTCCATCTTCCTTCACACACTCTTTGGAAGGTGTCAAGCCCATTAAAGGGAGGAGCTATGGATATATACACCAAGAAAACCATGAGGCTACACTCTTGCCATTTTGTGTGGCTGTTGGGCCTCATGATTTATGTTTGGGTGTTGACTTGGAACACAGCCATAAATGGGGTAGTCGCCATTTTTGGAATAGAGCTCGGCAAACAGCGGGGCAGGACGGTGCTCAAGGATGCCCCAGAGCAGCCAGGCAGCTCTAAAAGTGGATGGAGACCACAGGGCGGGTCGAGCTGGTGGCAGGTGTTCAAAATATAAGCCTATGGGAACCCATGGCTTTGTAAATCACGTCCTTTGCTGGACATCATATAAACTATGCAAAATCCACATAATGGATAAAACATCTATAATGTCTTATGTTGGGTTGTCATTCTGGGTAAGGACTGTAAGACCCTGAGTGAGAGTGGATCTCCCAGCAGGGAAGAGAAAATTTAGTGAAACACCAGGGCATTCTCAATCATGTACATTATTCTTACCTTTTTCCCATCAGCATTCTCCAAGCTGTAAAGGAGTACGAGGGACGCAGGTCCATCATCTCACACCTGTTACAGACCTCTGAAGAAAAGGAAAGGAAAAATTCCCATGTATTTATTGGTGTGTGTGTAGGGGGTGTCTGTGTGTGTTTTATCAGATTTAATTGATTTACAACTGATTTTATGATTTAGGATATAGGATACTTAAGATAAAGTATTTTATACCTTAGGACGTAGTAGTTTTATGAATGTTTACCAAAATTTGGTCTAAAAAAAGAATCAAAATTTAAACAAAGAACACCAAAGACCTCAAAACTATCTTGAGAAACCGATGCCACTTTTGTCTACTGGAAAGTCTGTTTGAAATCTCCTTGCTTGCTAACAATGTACTTGCAATAACTTCTGTTGTTAGAGAATATCTTAAATCCTGCCCTCAAGATCTACCTCTACAAAGATGCCTGCAGAAGGAATTTCCTCTCTGTGATCTTAGGGACAAGCATGCATGCTGGAAATCATGTAGACTCTGGATTGAACCTACCAGTCTTGTCACTGTTAATGAATGATGAGGGAAACCAATAAAAACTGTGAAGGAACTAAACTGAGGGCTTGAGTTTTTCAGAATGAAATTCTGCTTGAGTCTGTTGGTGTGAAGAATCTCGCCTGATTTCTCCACATGAGTCTCTTGGGTGCCTTCACCGTGTGTGGCAGGCCCCATACCTCAGTTTCTCACACCACTGGGAACAGCAAAAGTACAGCTCCAGCCTAGGTCTCAAGGCGTGAGAAGCAGAGGATTGGATGGTGAAGACCTCAGGGCAAGGCAGAAGACTCATGCTTCAGTCAAGCAGGTAGGTAGGGTGGGGAGAGATTCGTCATTCCTCCTATTTCCTGGCAATCACGCCCTCCATAGTTTTGATGGTGCCCATCCCATTGCTAAGAACCTTTTATTTCTCTGTGTTCACCAGTTCAAACATTAATTTCATTTGAAAATATTCCTAGAGACACATATAGAAGTAATCTCTAGTCTAGATATTCTGTGCCTCTGTCAACACATTAAACTCTCCCAAAGTTAAGATACCATGTCAAAATACTTGTTTTTACAAAAAGAAAGCCCCATTCTAAGGTTGTCTCTTTGGTGGTCTTGGAGTTCGGATTTCCTATGATTTTCCACTACTCCCAGAAGAGATTGGAGAGATTTATCATCCTAAACTCTGTAAACACAAGGATTTATCTTGAACACACTTACCTCTGTGATTCTGATACTTGGTAAATTTCAAGGAGAAGATGCTTATGTGAGCCCCCAGGAAAACGTGTAGGCACCAAGTCCCTGACAAGCCTCCAGAGACTCTGTTTGCTTCCATTGGGATGTGACTTAGAAAGACAGAGCATGGCTTCTACAGATTCAACTACGTATAACCTTGTAGAAGCTACTTTATACCTTTTTACAGCAACAGACCTCAACATTGCATATGGCTAGAGTCAACCCTAGGGTGGTCCTAAAGACCCTCAGCAGCTTAGTCTTGAGCAACAGTCTTCTCACTGTCTCAGATAGCTAGCTCGTGTGAAGCTTCCTTCTATGACGTTTGGTAGGTACTGATGGGGAAAGAAATAAAGCCATGCATTTAATGCCACTTTATGTGTGTCTAACATTGCTTTATGAGTGATTTTACACTTTGGAATATAATATTCACTTTATAGTTTTAATATAAATGCTTACAAAAATTTATGTTGAAAAATGAATCAAAACTACAATGGAGAAAGCAATAAATATCATAGTTATTTAGTGGAACATCTGCATACAACTGCCTTGCTTGCCAAAGCACTCTTAAAAAATTTCTGTTAAAAAATACCTTAGCCTTTGGATAAGACTG